AAGATTATTAAATTGTCTTTCTAAAATTATTTACTTTTAGGTGTTTATAATCAATAACTAAAAAGATATTTAACGTTAAACATTAAAAAAAAAATACTATTGTTTCAGTAGCCAAAAAGTGTACAATTGCACAAGAGATAGAATAAATATCACTTAATCACATCTGTGTTAAACTGAATCCATCATTCTTTATTTTTACAATAAATTAATTCAAATTTCAGTATTTATAACGTTTACAATCTCTGCATCTCTAATCCGTTAAATATCTTTTCATTTATCAATTCTAGACATTAAAAGTTTACTTTTTTAGATAGACAATTTATCAATCTATTAGATGCAAACATAAAAAATAGGGTGTTTCATTTAAATTTTTTAAGTTATTTAACTTTTAACAAACTTCATCATTTATTAATCTTTTCAAATGCAAAACACTAAAAAATTGCTACAGTTTTAAATTCAGTACTTTCTTCTTTGTAGAAGTAAGAAAAAATTTGTTCTAGCTGTCTTAGTTTTTGTGTAATGATTTTTTTAAAAAGTGCATGTTTTCGTCAAAAAAATCGTCTTATTTCTAAAACTAAGCAAAATCGACCAATAAAAGTTTAGCTTAAAAACAATGTCATAAAAATCTACGTCCAAAAACGCTAAGAAACATATGGTGTTCCATTAAAAAAAAGCACAAGTTTGGATTGTAACTTATTTTTTGAGACACGCTGTATAGTTGAAAATAATTGTAGGCAATGGACTAGATTAGTATTTATCAACGCCCTATACAATTTTTTTTTAATTTTACCAATTAAGGGTCATTAATGGACTTTTTCAAATCGCTGGGACAGCCTCTTGCCAGTTATAATAATGGTGTCTCCAAATACGTCTACAGACTGCGATAAATTAAAGAGAAACTTCTAATCTATGATAGATAGAAAAGAAAAGAACTCAAGGACTCAAGTTTAAAACAAAGGTTGGTTTTGTCAATAATTACAAACATATTTATTTTAGAAACGTGGCTTAAAAATGAAACAATTTAAAGAAAAACAAGAATATTATAAATAACAGAAAGTAGGTAATTGAAATAAAAATGTAGCAAGACAAGGAAAACACAATACTAAACAATTTGTATTAAAAATGATTGAAAACTAGATTACATGTAAATGATAATATAAAATTAATCATCACTAAATTCTTCAGTTTCATCATGACTTTCCAAGCCTGGAATCATAGTAAATCTTGGGGGCTTATGCCAAACAGCACTCGATGTCCTTTTCAGTTTTTTTGGTTCGATATTTTCCAAAATATCTTGCAAATCCGGTGTTCGCGCTTGAATTGAGAAAAATGTATTCTTTATAGCTTGTCCCTCAGCTGAGATACATTTTAGCATTTGAATTACATTGGCTTCTTTTTCCCAATTTTGTAGCAAAATATCACGAGTTTTGCATTCTTCGCTGTCTGAATCGTAACAGTCGTTTGACGGCAAAGGTGGTGCTGTCTCTCTGAAATAAATCGGTTTTCTCTCTTTCTGGTTCTGAACCATCTTTGCGATAACATCATCTCGTTTTGCCAATTTCGCAGCCAACTCTGCAGCTTTTCTTTCCTCTTCTACCATCTTTTCTTCCTCGAGTTTCTTTTGTTCTATCGCTCGTTTCTTCGCTAACAATCTCTTCTTCTCATGTTCTTCTTTAAGTCTTAGTTTCTTTTCTTCTTGCTCGGCGATATGAAGTCGGTGCCGTTCGTCTTTCACCCGTTGTGCTTCTAAGACTTTCTGTTTCTCTTTTTCAAGAGCTTCACGTTGTTGTTGCGCTTTGAGTTGTTTTTCTTCTCTTTTCCGTCTCTTTTCTTCAGTTTGGGCTTGAAGTATCGCTTCTCGTTTTTTAAGTGCTTCTTGTTCCTTTTCACGACGGCGTATTTCTATTTCTCTGTATTCGGCTTGAGATGATTTTAAAGTGGTTGAATTTTTGGCCAAAAGGTTATCGCATGAACTGGAATTTAGTATTTTTTTGGATTTTCCGGTCGTACTGGCCGCTTTTGGTATAAATTTAGAAGTGAGTGGAGTAAACATTTTCGCTTTTTCTTTAACATTACTCTTCAATTCCGTTTGATTTTGTTCTTGTGCTTCTTCCAATTCTTTCTCTTTTGCTTGATTTCGAGTCTTGGTTCTGGTGATTCTAACGGGTATTGCATCGGCATCCTCTTGAAGTTTTTCAAAAGCCTGGACCTAAAACAGATTTATGAAATCATCATTTCTGTTATTATTTTTTGTCACTTACTTTTTTTTTCACAGGACTTTGCTCAAAAGGACTGAATATTTGCTTAGGACGTTTGGGAATCGTCCCTGTCTTCGTCCATTGATTTTTCTTGGTGGTTTCTTCTTCCGATTCGTCATCGGTCATCAAATCGTCTATTGTTTTTGGAACCAAAGTATTGACAATTTTGGGATTTGTTACAACCACCGTTGAGTTGAAATTATCAACACAGACATCATGTGTAGAAGCGGCGATAAAAGTCGCGTTATTTGTCTCTGTATTTTCCACCAAAAGTGTTGAAACCGCGTCTTCGTAATTCGTATTATCCTTTTCATCTTCGTTGGATTTTGGTCTTTTTTCTTTATTTTCTTGTCCCTCATCGGAAGAAGTTCTTGTTCGTTTAGATTTCTCCAATTCTGTTTTAGTAGTTTCCTCCCCCAACGAATCCACAAGATTAATTATAGGTACCTCAACTTCTTTAATGATTACATCTGATTCACGTGGTTTCTCCAATTCTTCTTCAATTTTCTCTTGTTTAATTATTTTACTTGTTGCATTTTTTCTTCGTCTTTTAGGAGCTGGTCGAGTTGGAGCTGGCATTTCTTCATTTTCAGTCTTAATTCGAACTTCATCGGCGAGTGATTTAGATGAATTGGCTATTGACATTTTCTCCTTTTTGATAGAGACTCGGCGAAGTTTCTCATTTAGATTGCTGATGCTTTGACTGGCTTCTTTAAAAGCATTTCGTCGGGGACGTCCACGTGCGTTTTTCTTTGTTTCAGTGTCGGTATCGGGCTCGACGTTTTCTTTCGATGAACCCGAAGCTTCCTCATTTGTAAGATCTAAATTTCAAACACATTAAGATCTACACCTTTTTCAAGTGTAATTTAGAAAGCGTAAGATATACAGGATGTTCCGTTTTTATTGTTACAAATTTAAACAGGTGATTGAATATTCAATTTTAAGACAAAAGTTTACGATGTTGGTACAGCTGATAACACCTGAACGAATTCAAAGATCAGTTGTCAAAATTTTTAATCACGGGTCTCTTGAACGGTGAAACAAATTTAATTTTTAATTTTTATCCTCTTTATGGTCTAAATTGTACAAATTGTAAACTGATTTTACTTAAAAACTTTAAATTGTTTCGAAAAAACGCAAGAGACCTCTTTTTTGTATAAAACTATGAAATTTAGAATTTAGTGACTGAAAGTGGCACGAATCAACGGCCAAAATAGTTAGGCTACTTTTACCCTAAACCCCCTCAGTTTAGCACGCCCCTGAGTAAAAATTTTGACATTTTATCTTTGAATTCGTTTGGGTGTATAAAGGTTATCAGTTGTACCAAATTTTAAAATTTTATCTACAGGGGATGTAGCTCCCTTATTTAATATTTTTCAATATATATTTATAGGAAACTTTTATCTTAAAATTGAATATCCTATCACCTGCTTCAATTTGTAACAATAAAAACGGAACACCCTGTATTTCAGAAAACGTTAATTGTAATTTAGAACCGTAAACTGAATTTCAGAAACCATCAGACGTAATTCAGATTAATTAATTTAACTTCAGAAAGTGTAAATTGAAATTCAGATTAGTCAATTGTATTTTAGAAAGTGTTAGTTATAATTTAGAGTTTGTCATTTCTAATTGAGAATTCGTTATTTTCATTTGAAAATTACATTATCAAAATCTTTTTGAAAATAAAATATCTTATTTATTTTGTAAAATACCAAGTTTATGCAATTCTTTAATTCTGAAAATAAAATAATTCGTGTTTAAGTGTAACTTCATTTTGAGATAACAGTAAGTTACTCATCTGAACTACAACTGATATTTTCTGGATTACATGTAACATGAAATTGAATTTATTTACTGTTCTGAATTACATTTAATGGTTTCTGAATTACAATTAATACTTTCTGAAATACAATTGACTAATCTGAATTCCAATTCTAGTAGTTGTCAAAATGAAAGCTGAAATCAGTTTACAAAGCAGACATTGTCAAACTTCATGAATAAAAAAAAGTATTAAATTCACTTACGTGACTCCCTAAACTCTTTAAATTTATCGAAATCAATTAAATGATTATATTCCGGCATCTTTCCTGTTGTTTTGTACTCCTTGACAACTTCTTTAACTTCCTTACACAAATCTCGAAAAATCTACAAATTAAGAAAACAGTATTTCAGAATCTGTGTTCAAAAAGTACCCTATTTTTTTAAGGGTTCAGTCTAGGAACTAGTAGCCCAGTCAAATAAGACAAATCGGTGGAAAAAAATCCTAGAGGTGACTCGGGTGTAAACATTTAAATGGAGATATAAAAAAAAATGGATGAACGAGAGAATTAATCTTTAAGGGGGTTAAATGGGGTGTAAATGTTTAAACAAAGATATAATCATTAAATTCTTTAGGGGTGTAAAGGGGCACTAAAATCAGATTTTTCGAAAATTAGTTTTTAAGGGAATAAAACGGTGTACACATTTAAAGGGATATAAAAACATTGAATTTAGAAAATATGATCCTTAGAGAGCGTAGAAGTGCACTTTTCAAATTTTAATGAAATAAAATAAGAGTTCAAAGGCTTAAAAACAAAATTAGAAACATGAAATTCTGAATTCTTAGAGTGCAGAAGTTCACTGAGACGACACTTTATGAAAATCAACATTTAATATTTATCCATAAACATAGCCCATGCGAAGAACGAGACTACTATAACTGAATCCTATACATAACATGGGTAATTATCTAGCTTTATAGAGTACCTAAGCCTATAGAATGGTTTTGTGAACGGGCTTTTTCCCATTTTATATCAGAAATACACGCGGACAAAGTCGCAGATAAATGCTAGTTCAGCATATAAGGATGACTCGGAAGACTTGATAGACCCTCGTGGCACCTCTAATAAACTGTTGGATCCAATACATTCAATTTACTGTAAGCTTTATTCAAATCATCGATATTAAATCATCTATTTATTAATATTGTACTGAACAAGACTGTAATTCGGTTTTCAATGTTTAAGTTGAAGACGAAGATGCAGCATATGAGGATGACTCGGAAGACTTTATAGACTCTCTAATGAAGTGTTGCACTCAATAATTTCAATTTGCTTTCAGTTTTTTCAAAACACAAGATTAATTCTGTTTTAAATGCGGATAAAGCACATTTTTTAAATGATGTTTTTTGTCAGCCCTATAACTCGTTTACAGTTAGTCCTACAACAAAAATGCAAAGGACCATTTTTGTAGGCTTTAATTTTGATAAGCAGGCAAAAACCGTTAGGAGTAATAGTTTCCCAGATATAAGCAAAAAAACAAAAAAAGACACCTTTAACCCCCTCCCCCTCCTCGAGCTCGCCACCCATCTTTGGGGACTTTTGATATATGTCTACCCAAGTGTAAAGAAAGCGTTTTAAAAAAAATTACAACTCTCTAGGATTTTTTTCCACCGATTTGTCTAATTTGACTGGGCTAAGTACCCTATTTTTTTAAGGGTTCGGTCTAGGAACTATATACGAAAGCGTTGTTAACTTTTGTCGGAATTTGAATTGTGGCAATTGGCAAAAGCCTAATAAAAGCTGTAAACCCACCGTTTTTATGTGTAAAATCTTACCTCATTGAACTCTATAATCGGTTTCAGCCCCTCTTCCACGAAACTCAAGGTTTCTTGATTAAGGTCATTTACTATAGCCTCGAATGCATTCATTATGTCCACGTTAAAACACTTTTATACACAAATTCAAATCAAAGAAATACTTATTTAATGCACAAGCTGATTCAACATCAACCAAACGAAATAAAGTTTGACGGTTGGAGTTGTTGGACAAGAAACGAATTCAAATCAGCGTAATGTGATTGGATCCCCTCCACTTTAAATTTTATCCGGTTTAATTACCCGCGAAATTTAAAACGAACAATTTTTTTATAGTCTGTGCAACTTCACAGAGCATTTCTGAATTTGTTGTTAAAAAAAACACCACTCCTTATTACAGCATTATTTATTTAAAAATATCTTATTAGGCGGTAACGTGAGCTACGAAACTATTATCCTCATCAAAATTCTCAACAGTTCCTGGAATTCGTGCAGGATTCTATAAAAGAGAAAAGTGAGCAAAACAACGTTAACAAAGTTGGGTAATTTTACCAATTGTCGCGCTCTTTCCTCGAGCAAACTATACGCAAAATGATTCATAACAATAGATCTAGGTAATGCGACCCCTTGAAACCTATAAATGGGCCCCCCTGGTATGTCAGTGTCCAGTTTAATAACATTAGCCACAGTGATGCGTCCGAAATGACTGGTGTTTGCTACCATGGGCCCCCTTGAAATGTCGATATGATGCCCTGCTCTGAACAGTGTCACTTTTCCGTTATGATTGGCAGCAATATTTGGAATTTGTTGATATTTGTGAGTGTTATTCCTGAACAAATCTAGAGCGAGTTCCTGGGAGACATCCATGCAATGAATGGGATGATTTTGTTGGCAAAATTTAATCATTTCAATTGATAAAACTTTGAGTTCGTTCTGTGTCGGTTGCCAGTTGTCTAGAGGCAGTTGTACATCATAAACAAAACTTCCAGATTTCACATTGGGGCTAGGAAAGCTGTGCAACTGCACTTTTAGGTTATCTTTAAAACTATTACTGGCTACAGCCCCCAGTATAAAACTACAAGTACGCCAGAAAATTTTATTAACTGACGCTGGTTGGGCAACCTTGTAGTGCAAAAATCGCAATTTGCACGAGTCAGGCAAAGGCTTATGCATATGCCAAAGAGTATCATTATTTAGCAATGCCACAGCTGATTGTTCTGCTATTTTTTCACCAAGATCTGCAAAAAAAATGTCTAGAAAAGACTAACATAGAGTTTTAATTACGTCTTGCGCAATCATAAGGCGTTGAAATGTGTTTATTCATGACTAAAGTCGCAGTTTCAGAGGGGCCCTCATAATTAACTTCAATTTTTTCAATACGTCCTATCGCTTCTTTCTGCTTTTTGTGCTCAATGTCGAATAAATTGTTTTGTCGGATGATCTCTTCCGATATATTACTAGTACTGCTGAGTCCTTAAATTCACGTAAGCCCCAAAAAGACAAAACATAACCTAACTTACTTTTGCATAATGACCCTAATATGTGATAACTGGATAACAGTAACGCTGGTTTCGTGAGAAAAATGTTCGTACTGTTCATTTCGAGTGAAAAATAATTCGATTATTATTCATCAAAAAAACTGTAAAAATGTGGTGTTCCTCCTTATTAGCAACACCTTAGGAATTTTTGTTTTTTACCAAACACTTGTCAATTGTCATTTGTCAAAAGTGTCAAGTGTCAAAATGGGCGACAACGTGGTTGAAAAACTGGAAAATACAAATATCGACGAAAAGGCATGAACACTACTTTCTAACTACCTAATTATTTTTCGAAATGTTAAAAGTTATACGTTATCACAAAATTATTGTGCGAGGATTCCGCCAATCCTATTCATCCTTGGTTTGTAGCACCACCTGAATGATGCAATTTTACCTTAGATTGAGCAGTTTTTTAAATTAATTGTGTCGGCAAGTGCTTTGAAGTAAAACAGGCGTTTCAATTTCAGGTGAAACTGAAGAAAATGAAGCAGCCAAGTAACGAAAAGTCTTCAGTGAGTGAACTGAAACCCTGGCCCTCATTTATACAAACTCGCTTGGACCTTTGGGACAAGCTCAAAGCTGAGAAAGATGCGGAAATTGCAAGTAAACCTCAACAAGCCATCAAAGTCACTTTGCCTGATGGTAAGGTTGTTGAGGCTGTTGCCTGGAAGACCACTGCTTATGATATTGCAAAAGGGATCAGGTAATATTGATTTTTGTGTTTTTCGGTAATTTAATTTTGGTAATAGTCAAGGGTTGGCTGATAATTGCGTGATCTCAAAAGTGAACGGCGTTTTATGGGACTTGGATAGACCCCTGGAGGCAGATTGTAAACTAGAATTACTAAAATTTGATAATCCTGAAGCTCAGTCAGTATTTTGGCACTCCACTGCTCATATTTTGGGGGAGGCGCTGGAGAGGGTCTACGGGGGGTGTCTTTGTTACGGCCCTCCTATTGAGTCAGGGTTTTACTATGACATGTTTTTGGAGGAAAAAGGGGTACTTATGACAAAACATACAATTTCAATTATTCTCTAATCAATTCTAGATTTCTGCCGGTGATTTTCCATACTTGGAAAACTTGATGAAACAAATTACGAAAGAAAAACAACCTTTTGAACGTCTCGAAATGAAAAAAGAAGATTTATTAGAAATGTTCAAATACAATCCGTTTAAAGTGCGAATTTTAAATGAAAAAGTGGACACACCTACCACTACCGTATATCGTTGTGGGCCCCTCATTGATCTGTGTAGAGGCCCCCATGTCAGACACACCGGAAAAATTAAGGCTTTAAAAGTTACTAAAGTAATTAAAGTATTTGAGATTTTTTCCCATTTAATGATTTTCTTATTAGAACTCTTCAACCTATTGGGAGGGTAACGCCGATGCTGAAACTTTACAAAGGGTTTATGGTATCAGTTTTCCGGATAATAAACAATTGAAAGAGTGGGAAAAATTCCAAGAGGAGGCAGCGAAACGTGACCATCGCAAAATCGGAAGGGTAAATATTTTTTAAATTTTTTCAATTTTCATTGGCAACTTATTTTACCTACCTTTTTATGTTTTTATGGAAATTGAAATTTGATACTTTAAGATTATTTCTAAAATTTTCTGTCTTTCCAATAAATATTTGTAGATAGGATTTTTTTTCTATGGCTTAGGACAAATCAGAGTATAAAGCAAGTTTTATCGCAAAAAAATTAGTGTTTATTTTTGTAATATACAGTGTGTCCCAGCGAGTTGACAAAGTCTATTAGTGACCTTTAAATAGTAAAATTGAACGATTGTATGAGACATTGATAGATGTGCATACAGTGCATCACCTAAAATTATTTTCAACTATACAGCATGTCCCAAAAATAAGTTACGATACAAACTTGTGTTTTTTTAAATGAAACACCGTATGTTTGTTTGCATTTTTGGATGTAGCCTTTTAAGACAAGGTTTTTACGCTAAACTTTTATTAGTCGATTTCGCTTGGTTTTAGAAATAAGACGTTTTTTTAAGGAAAACATGCAGTTTTTAAAAATTTATTACACAAAAACTAAAAACTTTTGCTAAGAAGAAAGTAGAGAATTTAAAGTTGTAGCAATTTTTTAGTGTTTTGCATTTGTAAAGATTAAAAAATGAAGAAGTTTGTTAAAAGTTAAGTAACTTAAAAAAAATAAATGGAACACCCTATTTTTTATTTTTTTATCTCAAAAAAATAACTTTTTATGTCTAGAATTGATAAATGAAAAGATATTTAACATTCAATATTAATTGTAGCAACAATGTCTATCAATATCTGAGTGATCACTTATCCGTTGATTTATCCAGAGATTGTAAAAGTCGTTATAAATAATGAAATTCGAATTATTTTATTGTAAAAATAAAAAATAATGGATTCAGTTTAACACAAATGTGATTATTAAGGGATATTTCTTTCATCTCTTGTGCAACTGTGCGCTTTTTGCCTATTGAAACAATAGTATTTTTTTTTAATGTTTAACGTTAAATATCTTGGTAGTTATTGTTTATTAACACCTAAAAGTAAATAATTTTAGAAAAACGATTTAATAATTTTTTAAATTCAAAAACAATAAATAGTATGTTCCATTAATTTTTTTTAAGTTATTGAACTTTTAACAAACACCTTCATTTTTTTATCTTTGCAGATGCAACACACTAAAAAAATGTTACAACCGTCTTAGTTTTTGTATAATAAATTTTTAAAAAGTGCATGTTTTCGTCAAAAAAACCGTCTTATTTTGAAAACTAAAATAAATCGACCAATAAAAGTTTAGCTTAAAATCATTGTCATAAATATCAAAAAATCTACATCCAAAAACGCTAAGAAACATATGATGTTTCATTTAAAAAAACACAAGTTTGTATTGTAACTTATTTCTGAGACACGCTGTATAGTTGAAAATGATTTTAGGCGATGGACTAGATTAGTATCTGTCAATGTCCTATATATATTTTTTTAAATTTTATTATTTAAAGCTCACTAATGGACTTTTTCAATTCGCTGAGACAGGCTGTACATTTTACTGTTAACTGTTATAATGCTTTTCAACTTTTTTTTTAATTTATGTGGTAACATTTCCTTTGAAATATTAATCCAATTTAACCATTTTAAGTTCAAATTCTTTGTATTTTTTTTTTCTATATTGTGAGAGATAACTCACATTTTAAGCTATTTCTATATAATCAGAAAAGTCTTCTTTCTGTTCAGGTTCTGTGAAATTAACTGATTTGTAAAATCTAGAAATTGAAAAATATGCATGTGAGGCGGTAATACATATTTTTAGCTCAATTAATTAAAACAAGGTTTTATAATTTGCCAATCTCCTTTTGCAATCGTTAAAATCGTAATTAAATAATATTTAGGACCAAGAATTATTCTTCTTCCACGAACTCTCTCCTGGTTCATGCTTTTTTCAACCTCGTGGGGCCCACATTTACAACAGCTTGATAAATTTTATAAAAAAAGAGTATCGGAAACGCGGATTCCAGGAAGTTATTTCTCCTAATATCTTCAATGCGAAATTGTGGCAAGTTTCCGGTCACTGGGCTCATTATGCTGTAAGTTTTTACTTTTCACGTTAAAATAATAAACTAAAATGGCTAAATTTAGGATAATATGTTTTCTTTCGACGTTGAAAAAGACAAATTTGCATTAAAACCGATGAATTGCCCCGGCCATTGGTAAAAGATATTTTTTTTGTGGCATCAAAATGAAAAAAATTTGATTTTAGTTTGATTTTCGATAATCGCACTCGTTCTTGGCGCGAGTTGCCCCTCCGCCTCGCCGATTTCGGCGTTTTGCACCGTAATGAGCTCTCGGGGGCCCTCACAGGCCTCACACGCGTCCGACGTTTTCAACAAGACGACGCCCACATTTTCTGCGCTCTTGAGCACATCAAACAGGAGATCAAAGGGGCTTTGGATTTTCTCAGTCATGTTTATTCCGTTTTCGGTTTCACTTTCAATGTGGTTTTGTCCACCAGACCGGAGAAGTATCTCGGCGACTTGGCAATGTGGGACCAAGCGGAGAAGGCCCTCGGTGAGGGTTTGGACGATTTCGGTGCCCCTTGGTCGTTGAATCCCGGCGATGGGGCTTTCTACGGCCCCAAAATCGATATTACGGTCCATGATGCGCTCAAAAGGGCGCATCAGTGTGGCACAATCCAGCTGGATTTCCAACTACCAATCAGGTTTAATCTGTCGTATGTGAGTGAGAGTGGGGAAAAGAAGAGACCTGTAATTATCCATCGGGCTATTTTGGGCTCGGTGGAGAGAATGATTGCGATTTTGACAGAGTCGTGTGGGGGAAAATGGCCGTTTTGGATCTCGCCGAGACAAGCGATGGTGATTCCAGTGGGGCCAACCTATGATGAGTATGCACTGGATGTGCAAAAGAAGTTGTATCAGGCTGGGTTCATGGCAGAGGTTGATACCGATGCAGGGGATACGATGAATAAGAAGATCAGAAATGCACAGTTGGCACAATTTAATTTTATTTTGGGTGAGTGACGGTTTAAAAAAAATCATACCATAATGATTATTCTGAAATTTCGGTATCTCTGTTTTTTTTCTAAAATACAGGCTGTTCCGTCTAAACCCCACATTAAAAGTATTGGGAGTTCGAATAATTATATTTATTTGAAAATGGGTACATAGCCATAATCCAGTTCTCATAAATGAAAATATTTTTTATACCGGAAGTCGGTCTCAACTTTCTTATTTTAAATGGAAAGGTATATTTTTTACTGCGTTTTTGGATTAATTGGGTTATTTTAAGGGAGTTTTCATCGGCTTTCCTGATACCTAAATTTAGCCGTTTTTGAAATAGTTAGAGTTTTTCAAAAATTTTTGGATCTGCACCTTACACTATAAAAATCGGTAACTATGCTATTGTTTAAAATTTTGAATTTGTTTTTTTGGCGTTTGAAAGAAAAAGTTTAGATCTTCCTTCCGGTGTTTTCAAATTTTGAAAAAAAAAAAATAAGAAACCCTAAAATTTTAAGGTTACTTTTGTAATAATTCAAATACTCATAACTCAATTTTTCCAAATGAAATACCTCAATTTTTATTTTACTAAATGGAAGAGAACTTAATTCTACATCGGTCTGTATTAACATTCCCTATACCTAAATTTAATAATTATTAAGTTATGGTGACTTTTTGTCAAGATTGCCGAAAATCTATTACTAGCCGTTTTCGTATAGTTTGCCATGGAAATCAAAAATGTCAAAATTGTGTCTCAATAAACGTAAATAGTGCCAAAATATGGAGAGTCAAAGCTACTCAAACTTAGATTTAATGAATTTATTTTGTATTTATGGAGAGTGTAACAAAATTATGATGTCGTTCTTTAAACAAAAATAAATTTTTCTCTCTTGTTAGCTTTAAATAATGATTGCGTGGTAGAACTGATCAATAATAATTAAGTTTGCATAACTTTGATTCTTCATATTTTGGCACTATTTGTCAAATAGTAATTTACTGTTGACGTTTGTCTAAAGAAAATTTTGAAATTTTTTATTTCCATAGCAAACTATGTTAAAACGGGTGTGGCTAGTAATAAATGTTCTGTAGTCTTAACAAAAAGTCCATAACTTGAAAATTATTAAATTTAGGTATAGGGAATGTTAATACAGCTCAATACACAATTAAATTCTCTTCTATTTAGTAAAATAAAATTGGGGTATTTCATTTGAAAAAATTGAGTTATGAGTATATGAATTATTACAAAAGCAACCTTAAAATTTTGGGATATGTTTTTTTTTTCAAAATTTGAAAACACCAGAAAAAGGATCTAAGCTTTCTCTTTCAAACGCCAAAAAAACGAATTCAAAATCTTAAAAAATGGCAGAGTCACCGATTTTTAAAGTGGAAGGTGCAGATCCAAAAATTTTTGAAGAACTCCAAATATTTCAAAAACGGCTAATTTTAAGTATAGGGAAAGCTGATCAAAACTCCCTTAAAATAACCCAATTAATCCAAAAACGCAGTAAAAAAATATATCTTTCCATTTAAAATAAGAAAGTTGAGTCCGACTTCCGTTATAACCGGAACCATCTCATTTATAAGAATTTAATGGATTCTGGCTATGTACCAATTTTCAAATAAATATAAACAAACACTCAATACTTTTAATGTGGGTTTTAGACGGAACACCTCTGTAGATACAGGATGCGCCAGAACTTGCGCCTTAGAGAAAAATGTCATATAAGGTAAGATGCCAAGAATATGAAAAAAATGCTAAAAAAAAATATCTATAAAAATTTCTAAGTTATGAGAGTTTAAAATTTGCACTTTGGCTCTTTTTATTTCTGTTAGAAAAATAATTTTGTAAGTTTTTTTGCTACAGTCTATTAGAAGAGGAAACAAAGAAGCTGTATCCTAAATTATAACTCTCTTCAATTTTATTTGTGGTTTTTATTAGCAAAATTTTTGTACCTTTACTAAATAATTGCAAAAAAACATATACAAGGTCATCAATATCATTAAATAGACAAAAAAAAATGTCAAATGTCAAAAATTTTTGACAGATAGAATTTTTTAAACATTTTTTTCATGTTCCTGGTATCTTATCTTACTTGAAATTTTTCTTTATGGTGCGAGTTCTGGCGCACCTTGTATACTCGTATATTAGAGAAAATAATTATAAAAATAAGTACCACGCGGTTTCGAGTAAAAAATGTTTAAACAAATTAGAAAAATCGTTGCTGACCAATAGTAGACACTTCAAAAGAAAAATTCTCACAAATAAAGTATAAACGTTTCAAAATTTAAATAATAACAAAAAATGTTCATTAAAAACGTGCTAGAATATTTTGTTTATTAAAAAAATCAAAGTAAAAATAACTAAATAAAGTTATTGATCCATTTCTACAATGCGAAAGAAGGCAAGTCGTTGTGTATTGAAGAATTGTTTAAGAAAAGTCGAGGATCTTGCAAATCTATCGTCCTAGAGGCTATAAACATACAATTTTGCCCTTAATACTTAAATAGCTATTGATTTTTTGCTTTGAAATGTCTACTATTGGATATTCCTGTTTTTTCTATATTTCTTAACATTAAAAAACTATAAGACGTGACACTTATTTTTATGTTATTTAAAGTTTTAAAAGTGATCGTTTTGACATGGAATGAGTGCTGTAATTTTTGTAGTTGTTGGAGAGAAGGAGAGGAGTAGTCAGACGGTTAACGTGAGGACTCGGGATAATATCGTCCATGGGGAAATAACGGTTGAAGGATTGATAGAAAAGTTTAAAGTTTTGCAAGAGAATTACATCCGAGCTGAGGATAGTTTTTAAGCTTGTCATTCCTTAGCTTTAATATTTATTTTAAATTATAAAAACTACTGTAGATTTTTCTAATTTCGTTTAAAATGAATAAAGAAATTTGAATTCGAAGTGATTTTAATGAGAGTCTCTTTAATATACATATTATATTGTCGGCAAAAAGTAACATACCATGAAATGGTTTCGTCAATATTACATTACTATAATAATAAAAATTCTCTAGCAATAACAATCTACTAGATACACCATTAACAATCTTAATCTCTTGTATTTATGTCTTAAAAATGACTTTACAAAAAGAAAAGTTCAACAAATGCAAAATACACTTCGCGTCTTTAATGCAGTTTGTATGGCTTGAAAGTAAAGTAGCGACATTAAAGACACAAAAATATTTCTTTTTGCCATCTGTCTTACAATTAAAGATCTACAAAAAGTACATTCTTCCTATTTATTTTACAGTGAATAAGTATATTGGTGGCATCGGTTTGAAGAGATTGTATAATGATTACAGACTAGTTACAAATTAATCACTCCTTTATTTATGATGAATATTACAAAATACTTCATTGCTCTCGAACTCATAAGTGCGAACCTCGGAATCAACAATAATATATATTTATTCAACAACGACAAATCAAGTAGAATAGCGACGAAAATTACGAGGTTGATGAAATGGAAAAGTCGACAACAAAACTCTAACGATAAATATGTCAAGTTTCAACAAGATATAAGTATATATCCATAATATTATAACAATATCTTGAGTATAGTTTCTAAATAACTCTAAACTCTAAAGATGTGTTTAATATATAATAGTATTTAGAAGGTTAACAATATCAAGCAGAAATTTGAAATATGATATGCCTATTCTACTGGACTATTTTGCGTGTTACAGCTTGTTCCATCGTCACGATTAGTAATATTTATAACTCCAATCTAGAACTTTCGATCCTAATCACTCACAGTTACTCCTCATTATCAAATAAACCAAAAGGCAAACTAATGTGCGCTATGATAATCTTAAGCTTTAGGTACATTTTTTATCATTAGCAAACCCACCAACCAATCGATGTACAGTAAACGAATGACTTTTTTTCATTAAGAAGCACGTTCACCACTATGAGAATCACAAATTTTTTAAATCACAAAACAATTTCAAAGGTAGATATGTATTCAAAAAGCCATTCAGGAAACCGGAATTTCGCCCAAAATTTACTATTACAATTATGTATATTAAATGTCGCGTTTTTACACATGTAAAAGCTTAGCTAAGTTTAAATTTGAAACACCCATAGCTTCAACTATAGTTTGTCTAAATATATTGCACTTGCTCTGACTCATTTACAATGGCTTTCGGACCGAGAGCTCCAAACGAACGTCTCGAAATTGTGTTTGTGAGATATTGGTTTGGGCTCTCGGTCCGCCGAATGAACAATAATGAAGAAATGACAAACTGAAAATAAAGGAGTGTAATTTTAAATCTTCATTTATACTTACATCCCATTTTGCTTATGTATCACATCGGGTAAAACAAATTAACAGTAGGCACTTTTAGCAATGACCTGTGAAGGTCTCAAGTGCCCAAACAATTTCCTTATGTACATGCTTTCTACACAGTAACTATGCTAAGATATATCTACACTAGATATGTATATTTTCGCTAACTTAGTCTACAGTGCAACATATTTCGGGAAGTTTAACATACAGCCGGGCCCAAATAACTCTGAACGAAATTTCAGCAATCGCACGATTGAGGGTGTTCGTTGTGGCTTTGGTTCAAAGCGAGTCCCGGCCCAGTATTCATTCTAGTCTTCCTCACTTTTATTAAGTTAGATTCATTAAAAAATTTCCTAGTCCAAATTAAACGGCTACTTCCAATGACTAGTTTTCGTTTTTTTGATAATCACGAAACGTCCCCCTTATAAAAACAGTAGTTCAAAATCTATCGCAGTTAATAGATATTATTGCTATCATGGTCGGGGATATTTCTACTAGCTAAGTCCACACACTATCATGGAAGTCGATTTTGGTTTTTGTGCATACATCCGTTGAACACCAATATAGCGTTTAATAACTAACGGGTCCCCTGTTTCCACAGTCGGTGGCAAATAACAAGTGCATTGACAGCATAGCGCTCAACGAAAACACCGAAAATGTGTGTTGATTGTGCGACTTAAAATTTTGAAGTCTTGTTGATAAAATTATTTGTGATTTGAGAATGAAAAATTTTGATATATCACGGTGAGGACCCGACTCGACGCGCTTCACTCTGGCTAAACTGCTATAAGTGAGATGATCAGTACAACTGCTAGTATCGCTAAGACGAGTCTCTATAAGATCGTGCATGAGGGTTTCTAAACGGGACACACTATATATTTGTATTCGAACATGAGCGACACTGCCACAAAGACGAAATACAACAAGAACATGGTGAAACCTAGTCCTTTGTTCATCTTCCATCGGAAGCAGGCTATTGACATGATGACGAAGAGGAGCATCATGAAGAGGATCGTGATAGAGCACACCATTCCCGTCGAAGTCACCTCTACAGGCTCGCCGTAGATGATGCCGAAAAGCAACCAAGGCACTGGTAACCTGCAACAACACGAACAATTCACCAAAATATTGAAAACTGCTCTACCAGGTGAATAAAAAGTATGGAACCAAGCGTTTTCTTTGTAAACTTAGTACAGTCAAATTAGAGAAAAATAGGGCGATCGGTGGAAAAAAATCCTAGAGAGTTGGAATTTTTTTTAAACGCTTTCTTTATTCTTGGGTAGACATACAAGGTGATTCTTTTAGGGCCTATATTAGAAACTTTTTAATTTCCAATGCAGATAGAAATTTGAAATTTTGTACACAACCCAAATCAACCAGTCTGAGTTCAACTAAATTATTTTCAAAATGGCTGAACTTCCGGAACTACGAGAAATTGGCGCCAACTTTGAAATTTTAAGTGGAAACCACTTATTTTTATTGCATTTTTGAATTCTCCTCTCCAAACTGAGTAAAATGTACCTAGTTGTTAGTACTTATCTGTCATAGTTTTGGACATATGTCAATTTTTTGCTCAAAATTTTCATTTGCAGAGGTTTATTAAAAACATCACAGCTCTTGAACCGTTTGCAATAAGTAAATAACTCTTCTTGCCTTTGATAACCAAAGGTTCGAAGAGTTTCCTAAAATTTTCAAAATTGTCAACTGTCAAATTGCAAAGCTTATATGATTTTTTGAAAATGATATTTAACAAACAGCTATAACTCAGTTTTTTCAAATAAAATGACCCCATTTTCTGAACGGCAATCGAAAGTACATCGATTTGTAGAAGGACTTTTATCAACATGTCCTATATCCATTTCTTATAGTTTCTGAAATAATCACGAAAAACGTGTTTTTCTTTTTTCTTTTTATAGTAAATCACGTAGGCTTTGGAAAATGATCAAGACGAATTAAAGATTTATTAGTCTACACAACACCCATCCGGAATTACAAAGAATTGAGGCAAGGATTGAGGCGGCATTTTAGTAATCTTGAACCAAATGAACTAATGGAAGCCACTCAAATCAGTTCACCATCGAATTTTAGACTGTTTGAAAATGGTAAACATATCGAACATCTGTATTAATTATGGTATCTTATTGTATTTTCCAAAGCCTACGTGATTAACTAACTACTTAATTAACTAAGATAAAAACCAATAGGAGTTATAATTTCCGAGATATAAGCAAAAAACCAAAAAAAGACACCTTTAACCCCCTCCCCTTGCTCGAGCTCGCCCCCCACCTTCGGGGACTTTTGATATATGTTTACCCAAGTGTAAAGAAAGCGTTTAAAAAAAATCCAACTTTCTAGGATTTTTTTCCACCGATTTGTCTAATTTGACTGGGCACCACTTTACGGAAAAAATAATTAGTGTAGCGTAAAGTACAATTAAAATATGATCATTTATCAAGAATAACATTTTTCAAAATTCTTTTGTTTTCGAGTTTTAGAAAAAAAAATTTTTTAATGGCAACCCACCATGATAATTTTTTTAATTAAAGATTATGATCTAAAAATGAGCTCCAATTAAATAAAATTGTTTTTTAGTCAGTACTTTTTTTTAACAAATTATTAAAGTTGCGTTCCGAGCTCATCACGAAGATTTTTCGAACTTAACCGAAGTGGTCATTTCATGCATTTGATCATGGGAGAGCCTTGATTTTTATCCAGATACTTTGGGGTGGTTTCGAATAGACAAAAAATAGAAGAAAATCAGTTCTAATTGGATTTTTTTATCAATCCGGAACGCAATTTATTAAAAAAAAAGTACTGGCCAAAAAACAATTTTATTTAATTAAAGGTTATTTTTATATCATAATCTTTAATTAAAAAAATTATCTTGGTGGGTTGCCATTAAAAATTTTTTTTTTTCAAAACTCGAGAACTAAAAGAAATTTCGAAAAATGTTATTCTTGATAAATGGTCACATTCTAATTGTACTTTACACTACACTAATTATTTTGTTCGTAAAGTGGTTAGTTTACGAAAAAAACGCTTGGTCCCATACTTTTTATTCACCTGGTATGTAAATTTGTTACCATTAGATTTTCTAAAAAACTTACAGAGATATAAAAAACATACTACAAACATGTATGTTTTCTACGTCAAACTAAGCTGAAAACTGTTTTTGTTGCGATTTATCTTGTAGCAGCTAGGCGCAGATGGGACTTCAGAAATTATTTATTTTTTCAAGTAATTAAAAAGTAAGCATTTTATTGTTTTATTTAGCTTATAAGAACTCATGAACCATACCAATTTCATAAAAATATCTCGTTTTTTGGTTAATTAATTAGAAAACTTTCTTGAGAAGGTTTCCACCTCCACAAATTGCAATTCTGAAAGTGATATTTATTTGTCTATTGGGGAATAACGATTAAGGTGCTTGTTTAATTAAAATTATTTGTACTTTTAATCTGATTTGACTAAATCAGTAATAGATAGCTGTGAAATTGGGCACCTGTAATCTTTGGTTATTAGTAGTTTCAAACAACCCAATCGTGACCATCTTGTAACTTGTAACGATTTTCTCTTTCTTGAAGACTGAAATGAGCTTTAAACAATTTTGGTTACTTGGGGTCTACTTTATACTAAATTTTAAAAACGGTTCACTTAATCAAAAATTTACAAGAAACAAAAAGCTTCTAAATTCTAAATTTATTAACAAAATATCCCAAAATGTAATTAGTGTTTCTTTTTCCAAGTTTTTTTTTTGGTGCCTAATTAAACAAATTTATGGAACTTTTAACGTTTGTCAGATTTTATAAATTCATTAAATGGCAAAAATTTTTAGATTACATTATTAGTCTAAAAAATACTTATGCCATATGTAATAGCATTGGCAAATGTTTTGTGTTCTACTCTGTGTATTTTTGATAATAATTAATTATTATTCAATCTTGTTTCAATGTACCATTGTTAAACAAATTATTGCACACAAGTTTAATTTTTGGCTAATATGTAAGTGACAGGTCGCTAATAACAGCATTTTTAAGACTAACTTAGTTTTACTTTTCCAGAAGTGTCAAATTCAAAAAAAGCGGTCGCTAATGTGACATTTTGACATAAAATTAATTATTCCCGTGTAAATGAGCGTACTTAAATTTACAAAAATAAATTACTTGGCATCATGAAGTTTGGTAATTTGTCATCAAATCAATTTTGTTGATAAAATGTAAATTATTTATTAATTTATTTGTAATTTATTAATATTTGAAATGACATTGACGACTACTTTTTTATGAATTCGACTGTATATTTTTGAATTTTTATTTTTTTACCTTTTAATAAAAATAACATCACTGAATTCAGAAAAAATGCTTTCTTAAAAATTATTAAATTTACCTCTTCGTGCCATTACAGAAAATCAAGTTAGCCTTGTATTTTCAAAATAAATGATGGTAGAAAATTGAAAAAGATCTCAGCTGACAGTACAGTAAACAAATTGTTTTTTTACAATTGGATGTTCCTGAATTAAAAAAGTACCTCACACACACAGTAATACAGAGTTTTCATCTCATTTTGAGTATTTGTAACGGATTGAAATTCAATAGTTTTTATTTTTTTATGAAAAAACGCATTATTTAAATTGCATGAAAAAAATACAGTAACATAACTAGGTAATCTACAATACACCAAAAATAAATCAAAAAATTCTTCCGTACAGTTTTGTTATAAAAAAATAAAATGGCCAAAAATAGAGGTTTTTTTAAATTTATCTTTAAACGGCATGGATATAAAATTTCAAATATACAGGGTGTTTCACGTAATTTTACGAGGCCTGCGCCTGTAAGATGCAATCAATAATACATATTTCGACACGAACTGCATTACAAATTTTGAAAAATTGGATAATTTTCTCTGGTTTGTTCACCCTTTAAAAAATTACAACTTTTTTAGTTAGTTAGTGATTAAGATAGATAAACTAGAATCATAATCATGCCGTCTCTTGATAGAACAAATGATAATTGTTTCTGAAAAACTGCAGTTTATGACTATTAATGAAACAGTGATTAGTTTGACAACTACTGTCATGGGTTTCCAAAAATTGAATAATTAAATGTGCATTTTTTGTATCAAGTGTTCTGTGACTTTTGTATATTTGGGTGCGTACATTAGGCGCAAGCTTCGTAAAGTTATGTGAAACACCCTGTATATTGCTGCTAACGCCATCAAAAAGTTATGATAATTTTTTCAGAATTTTTAAATAACGATTTATTTTTTTATTCAGTATAATTCAACCTTAAACACTTCGAACTGTTTCCCAATTTTCAACGTATTCTGCTAAACCGTTCTGAAAATATTTATCTGTATCCTTTCTTTTTAACGACACAGTATTTTACTACTATTTCAGATTTTTGTTACTTAAATGACCACATGTATTTTAAATTTAAAGCGATTTGATTTAACTAGTCAACTTAAAAAATACGAGTAAGTTTTTTCATTTCAGTTAGTTAAAAATAAATATACTCCAATAAAAACTTTGTTTTGCATATAACTATGGCCAACTAAAAGAAATTTAGAGTGTGCTACATTGTGTGTTATTGGTTGTAAAATGAGTCAATATTGTTGTGGGTGGTAAAATCGATCACTCGTATAGCAATTAACGCAATTATTATTTAAGAATTAATGGCAATTAGCAACGCCTAGATGTACAGGGTGTATAGGCGTAAACTTCGTAAAGTTATGTGAAACACCCTGTAGGTAATCATGAAGCAGGGCCGTAACCAGGATTTTATTTCGGGGGGGGTTTCTTGTTGGTCCATGAAAATGAAATTAAAGAAGACGGATTAAAAAGCAAAAATCTCTAAGTACACGTTTTTATTTTAAATTGAAATAAGAGATCCTAATTAAACATAAAAAAAGTACAAATTAACTCACAAAAGTAACAAAAAATAAAATAAATTTTTAATACTTTTTATTGTTACAAATTTAAACAGGAGAGAATATTCATCTTTAAAACTATGAACATATATCGAAAAATGCTACGCAAGGGGTGCGTCTTTTAATAGGTTTTTTTTCAATATTTCCGAAATCATTTTAGAACAAAAATTCAA